CCCGTCGTGAAAACGGCTATTATACCTAAATTATATCTTACTTAATAAATTATAAGTTGTCTGCGTGTCCGTCAGCCGTATGTGTCTTCTTGCGCCGGAACGGCGCCGCGTAGCGACGTGAAATTTATTGACCACAAACTTTGGGTGGGGCGGACCATCGTATCAAAAGATGGGCGCGATCGGACCACGGGTGCGGCGTAAGCGCGTGCATCTCTGCCCCAGGCTGGTCGCGGCCGGCTCTGAGCAGAGAGCACGCGCTTTAGGCTCAGTTGTTCGCTTAACCCTCGCCCCGTTGGGGGGGGGCCATTTTGCCCCCCCCCTGTGGTTTTTCCTGAATAGCAAGAAAACGGCGGCGCGCAGCGCCGCCAAATTTTCAGTACCTTCCCGGGCATCAATTTGACACCTTCACACCAAATTTCAAGTCTTAGGTCACCTTAGGTCAGGAGTTATTGAGGTCAAACTGAGGTCATGTTCGAGCAAAAATGAGCAAAAAACATGCAATCTTGAAACGCTCACCAAATCTACAGTTATCAAGCAATTTCAAAGTTCTTTATATGGTCTAGTAGACAAAAAGCGGCGCTACAAAACTGCTATCTCGGATTTTCAAAATTTTTGGTTTTTGACCAAAATAAATTCAAAAAATTGATTTTTTTAGAAAAACATTGAAAAAATCCAAAAATTTTCCGAATTTCGAAAAAACCGGAATATATGTTATAGTCCCAGCGCTCTGCTATATACATACCAAATTTCAGATCGATATCTCGTTTTTTGGCCAAGTTATAGCGAAAAAACTGTTCAAAAATGATGACGTCAAATTTTTGAACTCAATTTTTAGCAATTCTAGACCACGTACGGCAAAACAAAGACCACCATTGAACTCCCCGTGACGAGCTGCATCGATTCGATACCCATTTTATGCAAAAATATTAACTTTGAAATTTGACCTAATTTGACCTGACCTTGACCTGACCTTGACCTGACCTTGATCAAAACGTGATCTAAAATGGCCCCAAAGGCTGCCTGACCCATATAATCGCATTTGTCATGTAAAATGGACCATAAAACATGTATCACACGACACTTTCATATTGTGACCCCCCGTGACCTGACCTCTGTGACCTGACCTGGTATCAGTGACCTCAAATAGCAAAATATGTGTTTGAAGAACATTTCCCCATCGATGATTTTCAATGAAATGCATTTTACTCGATATTACAACGCATTTCTTGAAGTGCCTGTAAACGGTGAAAATTGGACCTTTGACCTGACCTGTGACGTCATCGGTTTGACCTAGGTCAATAAAATTGGGTCACAAGGTAGTTCCCCGTTGGGGCTATCCAACGCCGTTTACCGCTTGTCGCTTTGTTGCGTGGTTCTCGAGATCTTAGGGGGGGGGGCCAAAATGCCCCCCCCAACCGGGCGCGTTGCTCGGCAGAGCCCAACGGGGCGCGGGTTAAAAAACTGAGTGAAAAGCATCAGAACCGGGAGGTCGTTGACCTTTGACAACGAAGGCCGACACAAGGCACCGCTCGCCAAGAAGATTCGCCAGTAAATACAATTAATTTGTTTTTGCAATATCTCAGCCGTTTCTGGGCCGATTTAGCTGAAACTTGGACTGCCGGTGGTAGTGTAGTGTAGGGTAGGGTAGGGTAGGGTAGAGTAGGGTAGGGACTAGGAGTAGGGTTGGGTAGGGTAGGGGTAGGGGTAGGGTAGGGGTAGTGTAGGGTAGGGTAGGGTACGGTAGTGTAGGGGTAGGGGTAGGGTAGGGTAGGGAAGGTTAGGGTAGTGTAGGGGTAGGGTAGGGTAGGGTAGGGTAAGGGTAGGGTAGTGTAAGAGTAGGGTAGGGTAGGGTAGGGACTAGGGGTAGGGTTGGGTAGGGACTAGGGGTAGGGTTGGGTAGGGTAGGGTAGGGTAGGGTAGGGGTAGGGTAGGGATAGGGTATGGTATGGTAGGGTAGGGTAGGTTAGTGTAGGGTAGTGTAGGGGTAGGGTAGGGCAGGGTAGGGTAGGGGTAGGGTAAGGTAGTGTAGGGTAGGGTAGGGTAGGGTAGGGTAGGGCAGGGAAGGGTACGGGTAGGGTACGGGTAGTGTAGGGTAGGGTAGGGTAGGGTTGAATTGAGTAACATCCTAACTTACAAAGGGCTCGAGCAACTCGCATGCATCACCATCATGCTTTACAGTTCAATTAAAAGCAGTTACCCAGTTCTACACAAATAACCAATAAAAATGCAAGTTTCTACACCCAAACTAATGCATCCGTTAATCATACATATCAAAACATACAGTTATCGCGTAAACCTGTACCTCTAGTTGTTAATAGGTATTGTGTTAATACAGGGTGACACAAAAAAGTGGTCATCACCAAAATTCGAATAACTTCGGAAGTTTTATTCAGATCATCACCAAACTTCGGCCACTTTAGGTCACACCTATGTAGCAGACATCCACCAAGTTTCAAGTCTTCACTACGAATACTTTTAGTACAGTGTGTGTTTTACGGACGCTCCACAATGTGCTCCAGGTGAGCGCCCCGGCGCTGCAGGGCGTAGGCACACCTGCATCCGGCGGGCAAAGTTGCCGATAACCCGATAAGAATAACGTTTCAGGGGTAGCACACCCCCTGAGCACTGTCTCCAGAGGCCATTGCACTCTGTAAAGTGCACAGCCATCGGGTTATCGACAACTTTGCCCGCCGGATGCAAGTGTGCCTACGCCCTGCAGCGCCGTGGCGCTCACCTGGAGCACATTGTGGAGCGTCAGTAAAACACACACTGTACTAAAAGTATTCGTAGTGAAGACTTGAAACTTGGTGGATGTATGCTACATAGGTGTGACCTTAAGTGGCCGAAGTTTGGTGATGATCTGAATTATAAAACTTCCGAAGTTATTCGAAATTTGGTGATGACCGTTTTTTTTGTGTCACCCTGTATTATAGTAATACTATGCTCTTATTTATAGTCACCGTGATTATATTTTGTGTTTTTCATTATTGGGCGGCGTTGAGTATGAAAGATGAAATTCCCTACTTCCCCCTTATTTAGGGTTTGGAATGTGAAAAAGCTGAGGATGAAGATGGTGAAGCGCCAGAAGTTAGAGTAAAGATATGGACTATGGAGTCCAGCAGGAGTGAGGACGCCGTGAGGAAAACTGAAAATTGGGTGAAACGCTGAATCAAACGCGTCTTGGATCCCAGCTGGGACAATATCAAATGTTTCATTGTGGCTCGTTAAGATGCTTCGCGCATTTAAAGTGTCCGCTTTTTTGCGTGCAAATTATGTAGTAATAATGAGTACTCTGGCCATGTTCTGCAGCAATAAATACATTGGCATTGGAACGATACCTACCCTTGTTTAGTTGAATTACGTTGACAGCAAACGTAAGTGAACACGCAGTCACTTAATTTTGCTTACTTTTGCTGTTGCTGTTAGTGAACACACAATCCGTAGGGGAAGTGGGGTAAGACGGGCACCTTAACTTTGGAGCCATTTTTCAGCCGGTTAGAAACATCATAGAAACGGGAAACTGAGTGAAAACCTTTTTTAGACATTTTACTTCCATTTGCCAGAAGATAAGACTTAGACCTGCTTCAACAAATAAACTGCAGCTACTTTTGCAAAACCTTGCAAAACCCCGTCTTACCCCACCCCAGGGGGTACGACGGTTACCTGGGTAGGGCAAGACAGCCAGCTTCTTTCACCGACCAGCACAGCTCGCAACAAATGCCCGAGATTAGCCGCATTGATACAGTCGCTCGTTGGTCTCAAGTGCTTCGGAAATGGCAGTATACGAGTTTCGTGCAGAAGGCGTATGCTCGTATATAGGCCCCAGTTCAGAAGCCATGTAGAACCGTTTTTCTTATTCATTATTCGAGAATAAACTGTGCCGAAGGAATATTGCTAACATGTCTCTGAGTATCGGAATCGAACATATTCTTATTAGAAATGCTTCTTTTTTTCCTACAGCAGCAAAAATATTTTCACCATTACAGATCCATTGGATTCATAGTTGCCCGTCTTACCTCAAACTCAATGTCAGAAGTTCAGTACGATTTTTCGCTGTGGACGATTTGATGCAGACAAAGCAAATCCGCGGTAAATGAACACTGGTGGTATATGAGTGTATCACGACTCACGAGTGATTGCGAGTTTTTAACTCCATAGTGCTGCACACAAAAGCTTGCACAATACATTATGAATATTTTCAATGAAATGCGTGTTTTAAAGAAATCAAAATAAAAGATTATCGACTGAACACAAATTCACCAGACTTCAATGGTGGTGTGTAGTGGGAAAGCCAATTCTGGTCCCAATTTTTCTCGCTCGTGCGCTATTGGTTTGGTCTGCAGAAGGGGTGCCCGTCTTACCTACCCTGACCATCTTACCCCACTTTCTCCTAAATATCTTTTTTGGAATTGGTTCTTCCGCTCAGAATGTTCAGTAAAACTTTGTCTGGGAAAATAAAAAAGCCCTAGGTCCAACTCGTTTCCCAAATACCTTCAACAGACAACATTAGCCGAGGCGGGCCGAAACCATTTCCCAAAAGCACGTGCTAATGTTAAAGGGATATCTCGGCATCTGTTAAAATTTAAAAAGTAGCCCGTCCAGCCCGGAGCAGGGGAAAGAGGCGTGGAGGAGAAGGATTTGTCTGTCTTGAGGATGGAAAACAAGGAACTTACGATTTTTATCCTTAATCAATACGCCTTATGACTTGTCATTTTGAGCAGGAGCACCCGACGAGTCTGCGCTCCTGCACCTGCTATAGCCAGGCCGGACGGGCTTATCACGTGGCTCCGGCTGCCGACACGCCTGCGGCATCGCGGTCACGTGACGAACGCCGGCCCGGCCGCCAGCCAGCTCGTCATCGAGCGAGCCTATAGCAACGCCATGTTTGTAGTAGCCGCTCGCCATTACTTTTGCATGCCGAGGCATTCGTGTGCGGGCGGCGCGGCGGCCGGGCCGGTCGGAGGCGCGTGCCGCCCTTTCCTGAGCGCCGGAAGCCGGCCGCGAGTGCGGTGTGCGCGTGACCTGCTGACCTCCCTGAGGCCCGGCGGCCACCAAACACGAGTGTCGCGTGTGGCGTGTGCTGGCTCCCGGCGGGACGGGACGGACGGACGGCGCGCCGACTGACAGTCGGCGACCAACGGGCGTCGGCAGCGCACCGCCTCTGGGGACCGCGGCCGACAGCTGCCCTTCCCATCGCTCAGTCGCTCATCAGCCGCAGCCGCTCGGCCCGCTAGAATTGATCAAACTTAAGTCGGAGTTTGAGGCTCTCCAGCGAGCGGGCCGCGTGCGCATCACTACGCTTCGTCGAGAACGAGCGCTGATTGGCTGACGTCGGCACGCAGTTGACCCGACATGACCGGCGTCACTGCCGGCAGCGGCAGCAGTGGCCGCGCGGCCAGTGAGCACGCTGGCAGCCCGGTCGGCGGCCAGACTCGAGCCCAGACTGCCGAACGTCAGAAGCATACAGTCGTCGGGAAGCAGCAGTCGGCGTCTCGGCGAGACCCGCCACAAAAGCGGCAACAATCGCCGACGCCGACCGGGAGTGAGTCTCGGCGCGGGCTGTCGGCCATCAGGGAGCGGCCCGACTCGGCCGCTCAGCCGGACGCCGCTGCTCTGCCGGCCGACGGAGACGGAGCAGAGAGCTCCCCGCGCGACTCCGGCAACCACAGTCTGGCCGGAGAGGAGCCGGCCGACCTGCCAGAGTCCTCCGACTGCGCGCCCTCCGACGGCCAGCAGCCCTGCCGCGGCAAGGAGACGGGGCCGAGTCAGCGGGAGCACACCGAGGCAGAGCAGAGTCAGCGGGAGCACACCGAGGCAGAGCAGAGTCACCGGGAGCACAGCGAGGCAGAGCAGAGTCACCGGGAGCACACCGAGGCAGAGCAGAGTCACCGGGAGCACAGCAAGGCAGAGCAGAGTCACCGGGAGCACAGCAAGGCAGAGCACAGCGGCTCTGAGCGGAGCCACAGAGTACCCGAGCAGTCTCAGCACCCACAGACAGCCGCTGGCATAGAGCTTCGTGACTCAGAGCACGGCGAAAGCTGCATCGAGCACCTAGAACAAACAGAATTCAAAGCACATTTCAAAGACGAACAACAGAAGAGACCAGATCATCGGTCAGCACACAAAACATCAAAGCCAGGGAGCAGAGCATCCTCAAAACAGGGACAACGAGCTACATCAAAACCAACATCGCGATCATCATCGAAGCAAAGTCAAAGGACACTGCCAAAGGAAGATAACAGAACGTCTTCAAAGCAAAGTCGTAGGGCATCGTCGAAGGAAGACCTTCAAAGGAAAGAGACCAGGCCCTCTTCGAAGCAGTCTGAAGTGTTATCGCAGGGGGCGGAACATCACTCCTCAAACAGAGATCGACAGCCGTTCTACTGTGCACAAGAGCAGTTCAGCGACTCCGGCTCTGGGGACAGGCGGCCGCTCACAGAGCCGGATCCAGACCAGGCTGAAGACCGCGGGCCGTCGGTGCCGGACGCGGGCGCCACGGCCCTGTCGGGTGACATGGAGGTGCTGCGCGCGGCCGAGACTATAGCGCTGGAGAGCCGATCCGAGGCGGACCGCTCGCGCTCCATGTCGCTCGAGCAAGTCATTATCGAGAAGTACCACGAGGAGTCGGATGCGGAGGACAGCACGAGCCCGTACCGCAGCGCCGTAGAGGTGCCAGCTCTGCTGACGGATCTGGAGGAGCCGCAGCGCGCCTCCGACAGGCGCGCGGCACACAGCCAGCCCACACCAGCGCCGGCAGACACCAACAACCAGAAGCGCGCATTTCCAGCGCCGCAAATAAACCATCCGAAGCCGAGGGAGAACGGCCAAAGTAATGAAGGTTACGCCTCTTCCAATGCCATCCAGCACGGCCCACTACGGGCCGAGTCTAGAAAGACGACGGTCAAAGGCCAGCAGAACCGGAAGCCTTCTCAGCTACGGCGCTCCAGGCCAGTCGCTCGCAGTCACGAGGACCTGCGAGAGGAATTGGAGAACGGCGGCAGCGGCAAACCGGCCACTCTGCGCCTCCCGGAGGACACGGGCACCCTGCAGAAGAGCGCTTCGCTCGTGAACCTGCCGCGCAACCCGTCAGCCCTGGTGAGTGTGCTGGATGGTGACTGGGATGGCGCAGCTTGGGCTGCCTCTGGGACAATCACGTGTATAGCGTGATCGAGCGTATATGATAATCAGGCGGTTTTTGACAGGGATGTCCGGACTCCCGAGGCGCAGATTGCAGTAGTGGCGCTTTTTGGCGTAAGGCGGAGCCTGTCTGACGGCTTTGACCCATTTTCGGCGCGATATCTACACAGACTAACTCGCTATGCAAACATTCCAAGGGTGTTAGAAAGGGCTTCCGTCTGTCCGTAGCACGGAATCTGGCGGCGGTCGCCTGAGAGTGGCAATGTTACGGCACTAACGGTCAGAGACCAAACACGGCCGCATGTCACCGGCGTAATCCGACATCCTTGAGCTGCCGCGCTCAGATCGATCCGGAGCGATTAGGCGCGCCCCAGTTTACTTATCACCGAGATTTGCATTGAATATTAATGAACAGTCTGGGAGGCAATTTCTCTTCGTTAGCGTTTCTCTTCGTTCGTTAGCGGTATATTAAGAGGGTGGCCTCAATTCGTAGCTTCTCTGTGTGGACGTTGGATTATATTGATATTCTTGTCCTAGATGGACTCCAGTTGGGCATGCTTTACTTATGAACCTTATCGCGTTGTGCATACATTGTACGGTACACACCATGGTCGACACGGATCAACCGAGATCGATCGCCGCCCTGTTAAAACGCGCCTCGCCACACAGATATTTCGTACAGAATCCAATTAACTAGTAAAATTTTACTAAGTAGCTATTTATAATTTTCTTACCAGTTTAGCGTCTACGAATCATAGCACCAGTGAAACGCCTTTTGGGGCGACCAACGAAGCGAGCGAGAGGGTGGGCCTTGCACCTGCGAAGCAGTCTCGAATTTTCGAAATTTTGAAAATTTTGAAAGCTATATTTTTACAATCACAAAAAGTATATTTTTTCAAAAAGTTTTTGATTTTTCGTAAAAACCGGAATATATGTGATAGAACACACACTGATGAACTCCTCTAGCAAGTTTTACCCCAATATCTTCAAAAATAGCCATATTATTTGCATTATTGTCAAAATTTTACAATTATATACTGTAGATGCAGATGGCCCCCGGCCACTGCTCGCGCCACCATCGCCCGCATCTGCTCCCTGCCACCCCTCGGTCACCTGGCCACCTCAGAGACTTGGCCGTGGACAGATCTGTATTGGACCGCTCTGGATCCCGTCTTCGATCATTTGATTGTTACTGCAAACACATCCACACAATACGAGCTCGAGTCAAATACCAGTTGGCACGATGCAAAATGGGTCACAACACAGCTCGGGGTCCAAGAACTCTGTTTAACATTCTACAAGTAAGTAAATAAATCAAGCAATACACAGCAGACGTTGAGGTATCGAAATTCAAAGCAAAGATAGACAATGAGCATCTTTAGTGATAACATACCGGCTTATCCAGTCTCTGGCGCGCTGCCAAACGACCACGGCGACCGAACTCACGAGGCCACCAGGGCAGCCTCCACAAACAAGCTCCACAGCTTGTCCTCCCCGAATCGGGGGCAACCGAGCCACTGTCCCGGAGAATCGAACATATCAGCTCATATAAACCGGTTTTCACATTAAAGTTATACAACAAAACAAATATTCATCACATAAATTCAACTGAGTAGTTACCATATTAGATTCAGCAGTTACAAACCTCTAGAACCTCACTCACCGGTACCAAAATCCGGAGCACCCGCAACACATCCGCCTCCAATCATGGCGGGGAACGAAAAGACCGCCTTCCGCGCAGTCGGACTCGACATCAGAACCGGTCACGTGACTGCCAGCGCGGCATTCGAAATTCCGGAAAACACAATATCCGCTTACAACCAGCACAATCGGTGCCCTACGAGATAGTACAAATATTCCAATGATATTTCAAAAGCAATTAATTAACAACGCCATCTAATTAATGAAAACACGCGCACTATATCCCTACGCACAAGCGTTCAGCGGCCCGCCGCTCCAACGCGCACTTCGGCTCCTAGAGCCGCCGGTTTTATCGGGAAACGAGCACGAAGGATATGTGAAACGGGTCGGAAGACGGACAAGCTGCAGGAAAGGATAGGATAGGACGGGCGCCATCTACACTCCCCCCTTCGAATGACTGAGGCATTCGAAGCACAGGAGCGCCCGTCAAGCTGACAACCTCTACAAACCTGACGATCCGTCCACGAAAAAAAAAAAATATTTATATATATATATCTACCACCACACAACACTGAACCGATGAGCGTCCCGCTCACACTCTACCTATCCTACCTTACCGAGCCTGATCAGCCCTGTGGCTGACGGCAGCCTATTTCTAGACGGCACCTTACTTCTAACTTACTCTAGATCGGAGTCGGACCTCACCACTACCATCTTGTGTATTGGGCGCAGATACACAGAGGTGCTAGTCTTAACGAGAGCCTTTCTCACCTTGCCATCTCGGCTGGGAAGAACCTCCTGTACCTTCCCCATCTGCCACTGGCCTCGCTGCACATTCTCGTCTACTAGCAAGACTACATCCCCAGGCTCCAGGTTGCGAGACTCCTGCGTCCACCTCTGCCGAGACTGCAGTGAGAGCAGGTACTCGCTCCTCCAGCGAGTCCAAAATTGCTGCGCCAAGTACTGGACATGACGCCAACGGCGTCGGGAGAACGAGTCGGCCTCTCGAAACTCGCCTGGAATCGGCCCAGGACGGCCCCTCAGGAACAGCAAGTGTCCCGGAGTCAGGGGTTCCACATCGCCATCAGCGGTAGACACGTAAGTCAGAGGGCGGTCATTCATAATGGACTCTATCTCACAGAAGAGGGTCTGCAACGACTCATCGTCCACCCGCTGCTGCGTCGGCATGGACCTCCAAATCTTTCTGAACGTCCTGATTTGCCTCTCCACTCCACCGGAAAAGTGAGAGGCAGTTGGAGGGTTGAACCTCCAGTCGATACCCCTCTGAAGAGCAGCACGCTGGAGATCACGGCTGCTTACGTCCCTCAGCGCTTCTCGGAGCTCTCGATCAGCGCCAGTCATGTTGGTACCCATATCACTCCGCACCTGACGGATCTGCCCCCGGCGGGCACTGATACGTCGGACGGCGTTGATGAGGGAATCGGTGCGGAGAGAATCTAAAACCTCTATATGAACACCGCGCGTGACAACACAGATACACATCAGACCGTACCTTTTCTTCTCCCCCCGTCCAGCCTTAACTAAAATCGGACCAAATACATCTAACAAGACGGAAGAGAACGCTGGCGTGTCACCGGACACGCGCTCCTCCGGCAGGTCTGCCATCAGCTGCCGCTGAGGACGGGCATTGACCTTCCGGCACACGACACAGTTTCGGATCAGCCTCCGGACCTCCGGTCCGGCACCCAGAACCCAAAACCTCTCACGCAGCCTCCAGAAGGTATGGAGTCTGCCCTCGTGACCCACCTCAGCGTGAGCCTCCCTTATCACTAACCTAGTCACATGATGCCGCCTGGGCAGGATCACCGGGTGCTTGGCACTCACGGAGATACAGTCGGACCGCTCTAGCCTACCGCCCACCAGCAGCAGACCATCACTCAGTATAGGGCGTAGCTTCGCCAGCGGACTGTTCCGCCTGACGCTGACTGGACCATCGTCACACACACCGCTCGGGTACTCTGGCAGATCTCGCTGGACTCGGCGCAAGATCGCCAGCTCGGCGCCGCGTAGGTCTGACACCGTCAGAGAAGTCCGGACGGGCACTTCCCGGCGCCGCAGCCCTCGCCGTCTCGCCAAGCACCATCTTCGGAACTCACCGCTCCGAAGAACATCGATGAACCGACGGTACCAAGCCACCGCTCGCTTAAGTCTAAAATAGGAAGAAAAATGCTGAATCAGCACGTCACACGGCTGAGCCGAATCAGCTCCGACCGCTGTCAGGGCGACCGGCACCGACTTCACCTCACTCGCCGGCAGGGCGGACGGAACAGCAGGCTCCACCGGCCAGCAGTCGACGTCCCCCGCGAGAAAATCGGGCCCGCTCAACCAGGGTCCCAAGTCGGTCGGCGCACAGCCCCGAGAACCCACATCCGCTGGGTTCGCGTCCGTCGGCACGTATGACCACTCGCTTACCTCTGAGCCATCATGAATGTAAGCGAGCCTGTTAGCCACGAAAGTTTTGAATCGCGTCGTGCGATTCCGGATACAACTCAGGACTATCATGCTGTCAGTCCACATATGAACAGTATCAAATCGGGTGCCCAACTCCCTCTGCAGTACTTTCCTCACTCTCACCGCCAACACAGCGGCGGCCAACTCCAAGCGCGGAACTGACACAAACCTGATAGGGTTCACCAGCGATTTCCCCATCAGAAACGCCACAAACCGCTCCGTTTTACCCTCAGATGAGCGCACCTCCCGCCTGAGATACGCAACAGCCGAGTGCGCACTTTCACTGGCGTCAGCGAACACGTGCAGCTGGGTGGTCAGAACCTCCCCGGGTGGGCCCACGATAGATCGATCTAGCCGGACCAGATCCAGCTCTCTAGCCCTGTCCAGCCACTCTCGCCACTCTTCCGCCAGTACGGCAGGAAGAAGGTCATCCCAGCCACAAGAGAGAGCGCACAGCTTCTGGACCAACACGCGTCCCGTCACGGTGACGGGGGAGACCACACCTAAGGGGTCAAAAACAGAGCTGACAGTGGACAATACACCACGTCTGGACCAGGGCTTCTCCTCACCTCGGAACTGAAACCGGAAGGTGTCATCATCGACCGACCATCTGAGACCCAACGCACTCTCGGCGCAGAGTCGGTCCTTGTCGAGGTCCAGCTGTTTGACTTTCTTACCTCTGTCTTCCATGGGTACATACTTCAGGAACTGCGGACTGCTGCTGGTGAATTTAGTCATATTGAACGCTCCCGTGGCGCACAGCGCCTTCAGATCCCGTGCCAGATGCACAGCATCCTCAACGGAGTCCACAGCACACAGTGCGTCATCCACATATGTGTTGCGAATCAGAGCATCAGCGGCCTCCGGATAGCTCGATCTACCCTCCTCAGCGCACCGGCCCAGTGCGAAACTGGCGACACTCCCACTCGACACAGCTCCAAACACATGAGACCTCATTCGCCAGAGTTGCACATCTCCGTCCGGATCGTTGTCACGGAACCACAGGAACCTCAACATGCTCGTGTCCGACTCTGGTACATGCACCCTGTGGTACATGCTCTGAATGTCGCACGCAAAAGCGACCCGCCCCTCACGAAATCGACAGAGCACCCCCAGCAGGGAGTTCGTCAGAACAGGTCCCTTCCTCAGCAAGTCATTGAGACAGGTACCACCACTCTTAGCCGCGCAGTCAAATACCACGCGCAGCTTGCCCTTACCAGGCTCCCACACGCCATGGTGGGGGAGGTACCATACGGGACCTGTGACGTCATCGTCAGAGACTGGAACGGCGTACCCGTCATCGACCAGCGAGCTGATAACACGCCGGTACTGGTCAAAATACTCTGGGTCAGATCGGAACCGCCTCCGGAGTGAGTTCAACCGTCTGGCCGCCGTTCCGAAGCTGTCTGGCAGCTCTCCAAAATCGGTTTTGGGAAGGGGGATCTCAAAATGACCCTCCGAGTCCCGCCGGACGCCTGACTCGACGTCGGCTATCCACTCACGCTCCTCAAGGGAAAAACACTCACGGTCATCAGACAGGTCACCAAAGTCCCGCTCGTACATGGCTCGAAACTGACAGCCTTCCGAGCAGTGATCACGGACACTCTGGGTAACCCCATCATCAGAATCGGTCGCCCTCTCGACCCTCAGGAAGTTGACAGTCAGCCTGCCCCTCGAGACTGCTGTCCCAGGGACACGTCCGATCACATACCACCCCAACACGGTACGGATGGCACACAACCCCGCCTGGCCCTCAGGCGGAGCCCGGACCTCCCTGGCAAGAAGCAGTTCGGCACAGTTCGACCCAATCAGGATCCCCACAGGCGTGTCCACCTCTGTCAGCGCGACATCGGCGAGATGAGCGGCTGCCCTCAGCTCACTCCTCGGACACCTGTCCTCCTGAGTCACCGGCAGGGACGGAACGGTCATCAGAGGCGGCAGAGCATGGAAAGCTCCCCCTCTCGCATCGGCCACCTGCACGCCCGACGCGAGGCACGTCTGAATCCGCCTCTTCCCGCTCCCCACCGTCTCGAGCACAACACTCGTCTCCTCGGTCTGGAGTCCCAACAAGGAAACAAGTCCGTCAGTTAGGAAAGATCCCGAGGAGCCCTGGTCCAAAAATCCGTTAGTGACGACCACTTTGCCGTCTGGACCACGGAGGCGCACAGCCACGACCGGCAGCGCCGTCCGATCGACACCTTGGAGTCCAAGGCTCGCACTGATCACGGCTCCGCTGTGGGAACCCGACCCCTCACCGCCGGGAGGTGGCGCCACAAATCCACCACGAGGGGGCGCCACACCATCTCCGCGCGGCGGCACCACCGCCGCCTCGGGCCGCAACTCCCGGCCGCCGCCGGCACCACGCCGCGCCACTGGCGGCTGGGCGGAAACCGGAGGGGCAGCTGGAACACCACGAGCGTCACAGTCGGGGTCCCGGTGCATCACTGACGGGTGACGCCCACCGCAAGAGCGGCAAGTCAGCTGACTCCTGCAAGAGCGGGCACGGTGACCCTCCCTGAGGCACCCGAAACAAAGCCCCGCTCGTAACACCGTCCGACGCCTCTCAGGCCAGGGCCTCTCAAACATCCGCTGGCACCTGTCCAGCTCATGGCGACCGTCACAAAAAGGACACAGCCCTGACCCCGCGCCCGGTCGTGTGACCCGAGCTGCGCTCACCTTAAACCCGGGAGAGGACCTGGACACAGCCTCACGGCGCGCGGGTTCGGCACTACGAGGACCGAACAGAGGATTCCGCTTTACACGGACCTCAGCGGACAGAAACCCGACCAGGTTCGACAGGCGCACGGTCGAGCCCTCCTGAAGGAGTCTATCTGCCTCTCATCCACCGATCCTGGAGGTACGAGGGCAGCTTCGACATGACAAGGCGCAAGTTCGTTGGATGATCAAATTCACTCAGTTCCACACTCTCCATCGCGTTCATGATCTCGGTCAAGAACAGAAGAAGCTGGTCCAGACTCTCAACATCGCCAGCGGCCACCTTAGGCCAGCCTCTCACCTGTTCGACATAGGAGTCGACCAGCCCCACACTGTTGCCGTAGCGAACCTCCAGGAGCCGCTTTGCCTCTGCAAAACCAGCCTCCCCCAGGTGGAGACACCCTCGCACGAGCTGGTTGGGCTTTCCCTTCGTATATTGATCGAGATAAAAAAGAAGCTCATCTGGGTCCTCAGTCTTTGTTTCAATACGGGCCTGGAACGATCTAGTAAATAAACGATAGTCTCTTATTTCGCCGCTGAACGGGCGGAGCTCTGCGGGGGGCAACAGGGACCGCTTGACCTGGGCACTGAGGGCCTCCCCCAGTGAGGGCTTACCCACCGGCTCGATCGGAACCTGCACCTGGGCCAACTCAGGCTCCACTAGGTGCCCTGCCTCTACCAACTCGCGTTCAAGTTTAAGCTGCTCCGACCTGGCCTGCAAAAGCGATTCGCGTGCCCTCACCGCCATCCGCTCCTGCTCTACGGCCTGTTCCTCCTTGAGGAGCTTAAGTTTCGCCAAAATAATCGATACATCTGTCGATGGCCCTCCAGTAGCTTCTCGGGGACTCACCTTATTCTCTGCCGGGTTTAACTGGTCCATCTCAGTCTCGAGGGCTGACCACAACCTATCCACTAAATCCTGCTTCTTACCGGTTACCTCCAGCCCACGGGTCTCTAATTCCCGTTGCAGCTCTGTCAGCTTCAACCTTCCCAACTCCTCCTTAGTAGGCGCCATTTCAGGGTGAGGGAATAGGAATCTGCACAGCGGGGATACCACAGACCTTCCACCCTCACTTATCTACTATCTAGACACTTAAAAACACTTCCCAGCACTGAGAGGATACCGCATTCCTCAGCAATCACTTAATCTAAACACCTTAACCTAGACACTTCCCAGCAATATAAAAACACACCACATAACACAATTTAAAACCAGCGCAGGACCACCACAGGATCACCCTTACCAGTCAACTCAGTCCAGCAGAAGCAGCAGGTAGCAGCAAACCTCAGACGGCCAGATCCTCCAGCTCCCAGCTCCGGCCGAACCAGGATGCCGGCACCAGGCAGCGAGGAGAGGCAGTCGCTGCTACTCAAGCAGATGCAGAGCTGAAGGTGCGGCTCCACGAAAGATGTCTCCGCCAGAGGGGCACTCACCCGCTGGGAGCACCCTCTCAGCCCGTCCAGGGGCACACTACACTGCACGCACCAAGGGCGCGCACCACGCAGCGCCTCTCGCTGGCGCACACCACGCAGCGCCTCTCGCTGGCGCACACCACGCAGCGCCTCTCGCTGGCGCACACCACGCAGCGCCTCTCGCTGGCGCACACCACTCAGCGCCTCTCGCTGGCGCACACAACTCAGCGCCTCTCGGGGGCGCACACCACTCAGCGCCTCTCGGGGGCGCACACCACTCAGCGCCTCTCGCCGGCGCACACCACTCTGCGCCAGCCAGCCGCGCACCACTCCGCGCCAGCCAGCCGCACACCACTCCGTGCCAGCCAGCCGCACACCACTCCGCGCCAGCCAGCCACACACCACTCAGGCAGAATCCTGGAAGGCGCGGCGCGCAGCCGGTGCTGCAGCTCCAGAGGCAGATGAAGGCGCAGAGACTAAGCAGCAACTGTAGCTCCAGACGCAGCCGAAGGCGCAGAGAGGGAAGCCGCTACTGGGCTTCACCAGCAGATGAAGGCGCGGAGAAGGAAGCCGTAACTGTAGATGCAGATGGCCCCCGGCCACTGCTCGCGCCACCATCGCCCGCATCTGCTCCCTGCCACCCCTCGGTCACCTGGCCACCTCAGAGACTTGGCCGTGGACAGATCTGTATTGGACCGCTCTGGATCCCGTCTTCGATCATTTGATTGTTACTGCAAACACATCCACACAATACGAGCTCGAGTCAAATACCAGTTGGCACGATGCAAAATGGGTCACAACACAGCTCGGGGTCCAAGAACTCTGTTTAACATTCTACAAGTAAGTAAATAAATCAAGCAATACACAGCAGACGTTGAGGTATCGAAATTCAAAGCAAAGATAGACAATGAGCATCTTTAGTGATAACATACCGGCTTATCCAGTCTCTGGCGCGCTGCCAAACGACCACGGCGACCGAACTCACGAGGCCACCAGGGCAGCCTCCACAAACAAGCTCCACAGCTTGTCCTCCCCGAATCGGGGGCAACCGAGCCACTGTCCCGGAGAATCGAACATATCAGCTCATATAAACCGGTTTTCACATTAAAGTTATACAACAAAACAAATATTCATCACATAAATTCAACTGAGTAGTTACCATATTAGATTCAGCAGTTACAAACCTCTAGAACCTCACTCACCGGTACCAAAATCCGGAGCACCCGCAACACATCCGCCTCCAATCATGGCGGGGAACGAAAAGACCGCCTTCCGCGCAGTCGGACTCGACATCAGAACCGGTCACGTGACTGCCAGCGCGGCATTCGAAATTCCGGAAAACACAATATCCGCTTACAACCAGCACAATCGGTGCCCTACGAGATAGTACAAATATTCCAATGATATTTCAAAAGCAATTAATTAACAACGCCATCTAATTAATGAAAACACGCGCACTATATCCCTACGCACAAGCGTTCAGCGGCCCGCCGCTCCAACGCGCACAGGGGGTGTCGAAGTCTAGTAGGAAAATCTGGCAAAAATTCCCTGCGTGACGTCACGTCGGGGATGACCGACGGCACCTTGCACTGAAAGATACGGCAGAACGGCTATTTTTGAAAAATGATTAAAAATACTTTTGTGCTGTTATGACGCATAAAACGCTTATCAGCATGTTCCTCATCATGTGATAAAGGCATATCCGTGGTCGAAAATAGCTGAGCCCCTCCCAATTTCCAACCACCGACCTCATAAGCAAAGGATGTAAGCGTAATCCTTAAGGGCGACTTTCCTATACATATCCGTACATATGCGTCCTTATGGAAATCGGTAGTGTGGCGATTGGCGACGCGCGCGACATCTGTGTGGCGACCAAGTGGCGACTGTGGCGACACCTGGTGGCTGCTTTTCTGCTGTACGAAGGCATTGGGGTTTTGCCAGATGTGGTTCCTACTGCTACACCACTATGTTGACCCAATACTAGAAAAGTTATTTTGCTAGTAAAAGGCAAGCAAATTGAAAGTTGATTTATAAAATTGCTTATAAATGATTACGAGATAATAATAAAGAAATTTTGATTGAATAATTATTTAAATAATCAACCGTGAAACTATATTCTGGTAGGTTTAGTAGAAATAAGTCCGTGCAACCTTGTATTTAGGGCCTTGCAACGCGCACTTCGGCTCCTAGAGCCGCCGGTTTTATCGGGAAACGAGCACGAAGGATATGTGAAACGGGTCGGAAGACGGACAAGCTGCAGGAAAGGATAGGATAGGACGGGCGCCATCTACATATACTTTTCAAAACCAATTTTCAGTACGTTTTTGATATCGTACAGCAATATAAATGGCACCTTCGTGTTTCTGAGCTCAAACTGCATCTGATAGGTATCTTTTTTGTTGAAAAATTTTATGTTCAAAATTCGATCTTTTCTGACCTGGAATTAAGACCTCACCTCCGATAAATTCAGCTAAAAATGACCTCAAATGACACAGACGACATTATATTCGCAATCTACGAGTAAAATGGACCATAAAACACGTGTCACGTGACCGATACATGATATACAGTTTTCATAACCTAGGATGACCTGACCTTGACCTGAAAAATTCGAAGGAAAAGCTCGGTACCCTCAGGGTATCTAAGGCATATAGCAAGGAGTGCGTAAACCAAAAATGAGTCTGATCGGACTTGTCAGCCGGCGGTCAGAGCCTAAATTGTAAACAAGCAAAAATGCCGATAATTTTTACTTTGACCTGACCTGTGACGTCATCGGTGACTTCGAGGTCAATGAAAATAGGTTTCTTTAGACAGTTTTTCCAGGGCTATCAGACACCGTTTGAATTTTGACGATCGGCCCAGTAGTTTCGGAGATAGGAGGGCGGGGGGGGGGCTCTGGAGAGCCCCCCCCCCCTCCTCAGTCACTCGCGTTATGGAAAATACCCCAGTCATGCGCGGGTTTATAACCCCCTCACACTGCCCCACCAGATAATAATAGGGTAGGGTGGGGTAATTTGAACATGTGGGGCAATTTGAACATAGTGTGAATAACAGAAAATTACGGAAAATCCATAAGTGGCATGACAATAAGACCAATGGGAGAAATTATCGTAACTAAAAGGGCTATCATATGAACGGGGTTTAAAGTTTCAGGGAATGAAGATGTTGACGCACAGTGTAAAAAATCAATTTCGCCAGGAAAAACGCCTAACAACACGTCATTGCAACTTCATTGCAGCGCAAAATCTTGCATTGCTAGCGCCTAATACGCAACGGCTTTTGTTGTATAATGACCTAATCAGTGCCTTCAATCCAAGAAATTTGCTTTTGAACCCTGTTTTTTATAATGGCAAAATAACTTTTAGCGTGGGGTAATTTGAACATAGTGTGAGAATTTGAATGAAGACAGGGATAGCTCCGAAAAAACAACGCCCCCAGTTTTTTTTTTGCCAATGCTTTCGACCCAAGGCAGTAGCAGATAAGTGATGCCAGTTTTAGAAAAGTTACGTCTAATATCCGTCTAATGTCCGGCATTTTTGTTGATTTTCCGTCCAAAAATGTTAAAGTCAACTATTTGTCCAAATATGTCCGAAAATTATGCAGCTATCAACACTCAAAACCGTCATTTATATTGCTTATCATGTAATTTTACCAGCCGAAAAGTGTTCATTATATTGAGAGCTTAACAAGCTTTTCATTCGCCAATCAATGCTATGCACGATTACTTTATAAAAAGTGCTGAAGTGTAGCAAGCCATCGTCCAATGTTGTCCAGTCTGCTACCTTTGTCCAACCAATTCCGAATTGGACATTGGACAAAATCAGAACTCCAAATGTCCGGGTTTCGATTGGCACCACTATAAGAGATGTAGTACGGTTGGGAGAGTTTTTATCGAACAAAAATGATAGACGTTCTGTTAATTGAAGAGGGGCGAATTCTGTCAACTGACCGGTGTGCAGCGTGCAGATATTGCTACTCTGCAACTGTTATTTTTGCTGTTGTGTTGATTTTTCAAGTGAAGGTATGTTTAGAATTGTTCTGCCTATTTGTTTATGGGTCAAACAACATCGGTGTTGGCGAGACTATCGTTTTTGTGACAGGTAAAGGCATTATGTTCAAATTACCCCACGGTGGGGCAATTTGAACACACCGTGACTTGGTGGAGAAGTGAGGCTATGCTATTCAACTCATTCAAGGTATGCTCGGCTCGTCCAAAAATGAGGCTTGCATGGTGAAAGCAAGTGACACTTGCGCTACTGAAGCAGTTTTTCTTCATCCAGGGTTGAACTGGAATTTGGTACAACGGAGAAGACGTAAAAATATGTTCAAATTACCCCACACTACCCTAAGCATACAAAGAATGAAACCTTAGTTTTGGACCCGCTACACCTTTTCTAATGGCCGCCCCACACTGGAACTCGCACGCGGGTTGCGAGTTTTTGGGTTTTCGGGTTTATTCAAAATCAAATGATACAAACTAAGCTGAGTGACCCACACTACCATCTAATAAGCGAGTCTGCATGTTTTTAGCTTGCGAGCGACCTTGCATCGCATTCCAAAAGTTGATTTTGAGCCAACTTTCGATTTTCCTCGCTGCGAGGTCTGCGAGGTTTGCGGGTTTTTCGTTGGTGTCGAATTTTGGTTCGTTGCGCTGGTATTGCGACTATATGTAATTTTCTGAAGGTGTACCGGCTTCATTGCATTCATAAAGTTACCATAAGGTAACGGTCTAATCAGTCTATGAATTAGTATTATGCCCGCAAACTCAAAACCCGCAAACTCGCAACCCGCATGCGAGTTCCAGTGTGGGGCGGCCTTAAGTCGGTCACCTTTTCTAAGAGAAAACACCTTTTACACCTTGAAGGCCTGGCTACACTATGCGTTTTCTGCGTGCGTTTTTTGCGAGTTTGCGTGATTTGCGGAATATCGTTATAGAAAGAAACGACATTACGTTTTTGTTATATGTTTTTCATATAAACTTTTAATTAACATAAACGTTCTTTCAACTATTATATAAATATTTAAGAAGTTTAATTAATAATAACCTTTTTCTAGAACAATATTACGCAAAACCCGCAAACACGCAAAAAACCCACGCAGAAAACACATAGTGTAGCCAGGCCTTTACACCTTTTCTAAGAGATGTTTGAATTTCAGTGAGTTTCAAACCTCAGTAACTTTTGAAATAGGTATTGCGGGCCCAGCTTAGCTTTTACGATATTCGTAATGAGGCGTATGGACCAGTATGTTCAATAAGTAAGTTCCGTTTTGATATAACTCGTTTATTTTTTGGCACATCTCAACCATACATGGCTCACGGCTCGACGAACTCGCCCTGCAGGCGAACGCATCGTTCCCATCGCTTGGCCAGGTCCCGGATGGCCGCACGGAAGCTTTGAGTGAGGGTCTTTTCGCCATACTGATAAAAAGCAGACCCGAGTGCAGACCGCGAGCCGAACCTCCGGCCCCGGATATTTTTATTCATGCCTGCGAACAGCCAATAGTCACTGCGTGCAACGTCTGGACTTGGAGAGTAGGGATGGTGTTAGAGCACCTCGATGCCCTCTGCCTGCAGGGCACCTCGCCACGGGGGCACGGTGAGGAGGCGCGCAATCCTGGTGGAGGATGAACCGACCACGGGCCTTCTCGGGGCGGCAACTGGCGATTACTGGCAGAAGATGGTCTCTAATGATCCTGGCGTAGGCTTATGTTAAGGCTTTCTGTTATCGCCTGGACAGCAATCTTTCTGTTGGCCATCACCATCTCCTCCACTTTGGCGACGTCAGTGGCTGTGACCATCGTCCTCAGCCTGCCTGCACGTGCCAGGTCGAGCACGCTCTCCCTCCCCTCCCCAAACTTTTCTTCCGCTTCCGAACTGCGGAATCACTAAGAGCATGGCTCCCGTACACATTCACTAAGTTGGCGTGGATGTTAGCCGCCGGCTAGGCGCTAGCCCTGGATAGCTAGGAATCGTATCACTGAACGTTGATCCTCTCGGGTGGCCGATGCCATTTCTAAAGCAGTCTTAAAAATGATGTTATTTGATCTGCTCCATATCGTCACAAATGGAATAAGAAGCTGAAAATGCGGTCACTTCGACATAAAGGTCTGAATTCTAATCCCTGAAAAAAATCACGTGCGTAGACCGCGTGAATTTTATGTAATTGCTCTCCGGAACTTACTTATTGAACGCACCTAGTAATGTGTCCGCACTCAGCATACAAATTTTGAAGAAAATCGCAGGGGCTCGCCCAATGACCTTGAAATTCCGTAGCTTTGTGACTCCGTGACTTGAAAAATATGGCGGGCCGAGCTTAACTTTTATGATATTTGTAATGAGGAGGATGTAGTATATCCGCATACCAATTTTCATGGAAATCGCAGGGGCTCGCCCAAATGACCTTGAAACTCAAACCTCCGTAACTTCGTAAATATATTTGCGGGCCGAGCTTAAATTTTGTGATATTCGTAATCAGGAGCATCTAGAGTGTCCGTAGGG